ATTAAAATATAGTACTTTTGTACTAGAATATGGGTTAAGTGTGAATCTCCAATATTTAATTTATAATTGATTCAGAAACTTTATAGTGAATTCCATTGTACCAGAATGAGCCTTTCTTTAAAAAATATTTAGCCATCAGATAACAATGAACTGGTTTAAGCTCTATTAAGATTTTTTTTAACCTGTATCTCAACTTTGTACTTTGAGAATCAGGTAGTTATACTTTTAACCCAGAAACCTAGATTGATAAATAAATACAACTATACTAGAATATGAGTTAAATGCTACTTTTGGTAGATAAGAATCAAAAAATGTGAATTTTAGAGTTGGAGAAATCTTGGAGATCACCTCATCCAGTAATTTTATTTTGTGGCGGGAAAATGCTGTGGACTCAAGACTATTAGATTGTTAAATCTGGAAAAATTCAAACTTGGTTTTAATATTTTTTAGGAAGTAGAAGGTGTGGTGATCCAAAGATCATCATTGATCAAATAGGAAATAAAGTGGTTTGTGAATCCTGCTCCACAGTCTTTGAGTTGTGAAAAGGTACTCTCATTTACTAATAAAATGCAAAGAAAAAAGTTCAGGAACTTAGCCCGTTTCTTTGAAAGTTAGTAAGAGAGAGCCAAGATTAAAAGCACACCCTTGGGTATCAGGATTTTATTTATATAATGTCAGTCACTGTAACACCTGTTGAGCCTGGGAGCCATGCTGCCCTCATAATGCCCCTGTGAGGCTGCCTGGAACAGGGTCAGTTAGTGAGGCCTGTGTGGGTGAGCAAGTGAAATAACAAGAGGAAATGTCTGAGGGGTCCCTGAGGGTAAGAAAAAATACAAATGTTGGTATCTTAATTCTTCCAAACCTAAGTAGTTTGTCTTGTGGTAGCAGAGTCATTCTACTAATGGAAACACCAGAATTGGTGAACATTTTGAAAAGATAAACTTGTCCCCTAGGATTCAGTGACTTAATATCTTGCAAACAAGCTAAAGCTTTGTTTTCAATAGTACAAAGCTGAACTCTTAAAACCTACTTGAAGATAATGGACACCAAAACATTCAAACTACTTTTAGAGGCTTAGATATAAACATAATGATAATATAATGGTTTGAGGGTTGTACTGAAAGTTGTAAGTCTACATTTAAAATGCAAAATGCATATAAAGGCAGATGTGTGCTTCAGGGCTTACATAATAAGTGCCATTCTTTGTTACTTAAAAAAAAAAAAAAGTTGAGTAACTTTGTCCTGAAAATTTGTAAGAATTTATTATTTCAGGTGAATACAAATGAAAAACTGATGTGTTCATGGCTTAAATGAGCTAGAAGTTGTGTTTTATTACTTAGCCCTCACAGTATCTCTCTGAGGTGGTACTGTCATTACCTTTCAGGTATGAAACGTATGAAAACTGGGAATTAGAGGAGTAACTGGTTCAGAATAACAGACCAGTGAATGTTGGAGCCAGGACATTAGCTCATTATTAGACTCCAAACCTAAGCAACCACTAAAAGTTACTGGTTAATTTAACTAAATTCCAAGTACATAAATAATGTTAACTCCCCCCCACCGCCACCATATTTTAAAAGATATTTATTTTTTAGTTGTAGGTGGACACAATATTTTTATGTGGTGTTGAGGATCAAACCCAATGCCTCACACATGCTAGGTGAACACTCTACCTCTGACCCACAATCCCAGTGCCCACCACCACCATTTTTTTTAGGGGGTGTTGAGGTTAAGTGCTGGTCATTGAACTGATGGCTTCATTCATGCTAGGCAAGTGCTCTATCATTGAGCCATATCACTAGTCCATAATGAATCTTTCTTTATGAATAATTTCCATAATGAACTTTTTTTAAATTAATTTTTTTTTTACACAAATGGAGCACAACTTTTTATTTCTCTGGTTGTACTTGACATAGAGTCCACACCATTTGTGCAATCATACCCATCCATAGTGGTAATAATGTTCATCTCATTCTACCAACTCCTTCCCCACGCCCCACCCCCCTTCTTCTCTGCTTAATCCAAAGTTCCTCTATTCTTCCCTTGCCCTAAACCCATTATGTATCAGCATCTACTTATCAGAGAAAACACTTGGCCTTTGGTTTTTTGGGATTGGCTTACATTATTTAACATGATACTATAATGTACTTTTAAATATCTGGTAAGTAATAACTGTAGATTAAGAGTTACCACTAATAGTACAAAAATGTAAGAAGTTCAGAATTTCAACTAAAACACTCTTTAATGAACTCCAACTTCTTCAGTTAACAGATTGGAAAGCTGTGGACTAGAAGCTAACATAAACTCAATAGCAATATCGCTATGATTAGAAGTTTGCAACGTTTTAGGATAAACACCAATTAAAATCCAGTGATTCTAATCAAATCCACTCAACAGGTTTTCATTGCAATTGAATAAACTATTTTAAAAACAATTCTTTGGGTTGACAAGTCTTTTAAAAATTTTTGTATCCTAATGTGCTTTACAATCTTGGCACATAAAATAGGGACCCAATTTTTTTTAAAGTAAGGAAGCATAATCATCAATTTTTAGGATTGAAAACACATGTAAGTTGCTACATGCTTATAATTTTTTAATTGTATTTGAACATTCCTCTGCTGGGAACATAATTTATATTATATCAGCAATAATAGTAGTTTCTGATTCCCATATGGCTTTTAAAGAACTCTTTTTGTTGTTTCTTATTGTCTCAGCTTTGGTGATCTAGAGAAACCCATACAGATTTAATACTACCAAAAAAAATAATAATAACACACCTAAAGCATTTAAGTATATGCTGAAAATTATTTACAAAAACCCTGAAATAAGTAGAAAACATTACCTTATTTGAAAATGTCTCTTAATAGAAGCCTCATGATTCAGTTAAAATGTGCAGATTAGTTATTGCACATGTTATAGGTTGCTGCTTGAAAAGTTCCTGTTTAAGAATTCAAGTCTTGTTTTCTTTCATTTTATATTTTACTTCATAAGTTAATTTTTTCCTCAGGTATCTAATATAACTCATTTTTCTTTTTGTGTAATTACTGCTAACTTTTAAAAAATGCATATTTCAAAGAGAAATAATGTTTAAAAGATGTGAAGCAATTAATCCTCGAATGCTGGAACCACTTTTAAAGTATTTTAAGCACATCTGTATTACATTACACAGGGAAAAGAATGATGTGTGCATTCTATGGTCTACGGACACTAGGATGGCTGGTGTAGAATACTTAGGTTATTTTCTATTCTAAGTTTCTTTTCAATATAATATTCTGTGATTCTAAAATTAACATTTAAATTCAAGGGGTAGAGTGATCAGAAAAGAACATATGAAGTTTGGGTTTACAGTTGTTCTTTCACTTGTCACCTACTTCTTAAAAAGACATCAGGTTTTATAGTAGGCTTGGTTTTACATTGTGTTAAGCCTTGTGTTTCCCCCTATTTGAAAACTATTGCCCAGAACGAACTTGGAACATAGAGAAATCACTGCACTAGAGTTCTGAGTAGTGTGCTACATACTCAGCTTTGAGTTAGGGTATAAACAATTTATTAATTAAGAAATACCAACATTTGTGAACAGTTTACTCTTAAAATTATAGCAGATTCAAAGTGTATCCTGATGAAAGCCTCACTCTTGAACACTTGTATCCCAGTGTGCTTTCTTGAGGGGGAGGGGAAAGGATGGAGTTAAAACTGTCAGGATAAGTTTTTCACATATAAATATCATCTGTCATTGGTAGAGAAGGAGAAGAAAGCTGAAGAATTCTGCGCTGTACTGGTGGACATGTTCTCAACTTTTTCTTCTTTGACTTGAAATGATACTCATATGCTAACGTATTTGTATATGCCACTGCTGGTGAGCTAGCTTGCATTTTTCTCCCACCCCAAAATGCAAGTAAAAGCTTACTTATAGCAAAAGAGATGCACCTTTATTCAGCTTAAATTTATGAAGTAACAATTTGAGGATTTCATACCTTAGTGAATATTTGTATCTAATTACCTATAACACATTTAACAGTTATATCATAATACCATGACTGATACTCTCAGTATTGCTTAAATTTTATGCTTTTGCCTCATTCAGAAACCTAAACCTTCCAGGCACAGTGGTGCATGCCTGTAATCCCAGTGACTTGGGAAGCTGAGGCAGGAGGATCTCATTCAAAGCCAGCCTCAGCAACAAGTGAGGTGCTGAGCAACTCAGTGAGACCCTGTCTATAAATAAAATATAAAAAATAGGGCTCAGTGGTTGAGTGTCCCTGAGTTCATTCCCTGGTACAAAAAAAAAAAAAATCAACCTAAACCTATTTTTTAATTTTTTTAATAGTTGTAGATGGACAGAATGTCTTTATTTTATTTGTTTATTTTTTGTGGTGCTGAAGATTGAACCCAGTGCCTCATGCATGCTAGGCAAGTATTTTACTGCTGAGCTACAGCCTCAGCCCTAAACCTATTCTTTCAGAATAAAGGAAGACCAAATTTAATTTTATGACAATATAAATTTTTAGAAACCATTTATAATTATAGTTGATTTTTTTATAGAAATATTTTGTAGCCAATTATTTTCCACCATATATTAGAAATTATTTATCATAAGGTAGTTAGTTTGTTTTACTTTTAAGGCTCAAAGTAAATATAATTGTAGAATTTTAATTTTTACCTGGTCATTCTTTTATCCAAGATAAAATCATAATACATTAAACATAAATATCATGTAGAATCTTTATTCCTGCTTGATATGAAAATTAATGACTTAATTTAAAGATTTCCTAATGTTAGAATATTTGATACACTTTTGATTTGGTTTTGGAACCTCCATATAATAGCTCTTTTATCTGGTTTTCTTAGACGGCATTAAACTTATAAATAATGGCTACTCAGTTAATATCATCACCTTTAAAATATTTAATGTAAGAGATTCTCTGATGTATGTTTTAGTTATTAGTCATTTTGAATGCTAAGGATATATTTGTTTGTGTTTTGCTCTTCTAATTACTAAGTTATTATGAACTGGATCCTTATAAAAGTCTCCTAGACAATTTGAAGAACAAAGTGATCATTGAATACCCAACGTTATATGTTGTGTTGAAAGGATCTAGTGATGACATGAAAGTTCTTCACCGAGGTAAGTAAATTTATACTTAGTACTTATTGTAACTCTAAAGAAACAAAACAATCATGTGACTGCCCTTATTTCTTTACATATTATTTTTCCAGTATATTTACAAACTTTTAAGAATTTATTCAGTAGCTACAATTAATAATATAAAGAACCAGGCAAACAACTGCTGCTTCTGTCGTATTTGAAAGCATTATATCAGTTTTATAATGCCAACTTTAAATGAATGAATCGAATTGAATATCTGGCTATAATAGGGTATTTTTTTGGTTCATTGGAGTTTTACATGAAGAAATAAAATAACTCTAGTTAAAACTTTTTCTTAAGACTCCTAAAATGAAGGATTACAAGGTTTTTTTAGTATCCTACCTTATAGCAAGGAGCAATGTTGAAAGGAACATGTTTAAAATTTTGGCTGCATTTAGACTAAGGTGGTACCATGTCTTGACCCTTTACCTCTCTTTTTAAGCCCACTGGTTTTATTTCCTTTTAATTATGCACAGAATATTTGGCTATATGGAAAAGTATTATACCTAGAAAAGGTATACATAAAGCTTGAGTATATAAAATAACTTGTACATAGTTATTAACTATTAACTAAAGTTCCACCCATGTCCCACATGAACCATGGAAATGGGGTTCCCCTGGGTGGAATGGGCTGGCTGAGAAATAAAAACTAAGAGAAATAAAATGCAAAAAAAAACCACAGAACACCGTAAGTAGTTTCAAAAGCAGGGGCAGGACAGGCAAGCTGATCCAGCTGATCAAGCTTCTAGACAAAATGGAGCCCACAACTGCTTTCTTTATATCGGGAAACATCAAAGGACTTCCATAGAATGTTCTTCTCCAAAAAATTTAAAGGTGGGCTGTACAATCCCTAGCGGGTTACTATGGCCTATTTCCATAGTACTATGAGGAATCTTCCTAGAAGAGCAGAGGGAAAGGTCACATGCATTGGGCATTGTATTGCCGAGGTAGAGCCAAGGAAAGTTCCCAGAGCCAGGCCTATCTCTCCCTGGCTTCCATGCTGAGAGACCATTCTCATGTGTTTCTCGGATGGCTTCTTGCACTAAAGTAAATAAATTATCTTTGAGAGTACAAGATTCTAGAGAAAAAGTAAAATTCAGTAATTACTTTTTTTAAAAGGTAAGGGAGATTATTCACCATAACTAAAAACTATTAGATAACTTTTTCATCTAAAAAAAATAATGGTATAGGCCAAGTTTAGTTATTTTATAAATAAATAAAACTACAGAGGAGCATGGAATCCTTGCCTTGGGTTGATCTCTGTTTTGTTTTTAATAGTATTAATTGACATGTATGGTTCAGGTTGTATTGTTGCACCAGCTGTAATAGGTAGTAACCTATGTTGTAAGGTGTTCTCTGTACATGTGTATGAGCTTTTTTCTTTCTTGGCACAAGTTATTAGAAGGAATATTTTTTTAAGGTGACCAAAATTTTGTCCACACCACAATTTGAAACTAGATTTAAATTTAGCAAACATGAAGTTTTTAATAATAAATTATAGGCCTCTAAATACTGTGTTCATTCTTTAATTTGAGAATATACAATTTTTTTCTCTAAATGAATTAGAAATTTTAGTTTTAAATGATTGGTTTCACTTTTTTAAACTTTAAAAACTTTTTCTTTAATATAATTCATATAATGCTGTCTTTAAATAGCTTCAAGGAAAATTGTTTAGTAATGTGAGTTATTAGCCAGAGCAAACACTGTCTGTGGAAATAAACACAGCACACACAGCACCTCTTTCACCTTGTTTAGGAATACACATTCAAGTCTTCCTGTGATGAAGCAACAAGAATAGATACTTGGATAGTGTACTTGTAACCTTAAATAAAATTTGCTTTATTTTTCTGCTTAGTATATGTTTGATTTTTTTACAGGAATACAGGTGACTAGTGTTTTCAGTACAAAGGATTATTTAGAACTGCTGTAGCAAAGAATTGAAGACAATCTGACAGAATTTAAAGATCATACCAGAGTTGTCACATCATAAGTACACACACCTTAACAATAATACCAGGTCTTCCTATACATGCATTTCTTTTTCATAAACACTTCAAGGTGCCTGTTTCTTTTCACATTCTCACAGCATTCGATATTCTGCAGGGTGGTCACTTGATGAGGAGGGAGATTATATAAGATCACAGCATTTTCTTTGGAGAGCCTTGAAATTCTTCCTCCAGAAGCTGGGAAGAAATTGGATTTGGATCCTGATTTCATAGCACAAGATGTCTCTTTTCTAGTTTAGGGGGAAATGTGTTTCTGGGCTGGGATTCAGTAGGTTCCACACTTTATGGCTATTATGTTTGTCGTGATTGGAGGTTGCCATAATTTATTTTTTCAGAAGTCTGCCTACATTAATCAGCAATGGGTGAGATTTTTGTTGTTCTTTTTAAGGAATGTGAAAGGTAAAGCAAGTAAGGTAGCTCTCTAGACTGGAGACACACACACAATTTTGATTAACTCTTATATTAATCCAGTGGGAACTGCTCAAAATGGTGTAACTGGCTTTTTGGGCTCTTGTTTACCAAAGTTAGACTAACAAATTTAAATGACATAATAAAAATGTGCTGCATTTCAGTCCTAAGTAAAAAGAAAATGGAGCCCTGTTGAAAGAAAACTAGATAATTTTAGTAGGCAAAGAAAGAGAAAAATGCTTTGTATATTACTACAAAGCTCCATTAATTTAAAAATCCCAGCAAAATGTATTTCTGATGTTCTTATAACTCAAGTTTAGAAAATACCTCTACTTTTAGAGAAGGAATCCACCCAAAACTGATTTTTTTTTTTTGTGGAGGACCGGAGGACTACTGGGGATTGAATTCGGAGGCACTTGACCACTGAGCTACATCCCCAACCCTATTTAGCATTTTATTTAGAGTCTCACTGAGTGCCTTTCTGTTGCTGAGGCTGACTTTGAACTTGCAATCCTCCTGCCTCGGTCTCCTAAGCTTCTGGGATTACAGGCATGTGCCATCCCATGGGGCAAAATTGGTCATTTGAATTAATGAAAATACCCAGTGTAGCAGCTTCCTTGATTAGGCCAATAAATCCATCACTTTGCTTTTTTCCTCCTTCTCTCTCCTTCCCTCCTTCCTCTTTATCCTTCTCTTCCCTTTTAGTGTATATAGCATGGGTAGAGTTGGGATCTTAGGCACATGAAAACACATGGTGTAAACTTTATAGTACAGTGAGTACTATAACAGTTTATGTAAAATTCAGGGAAGCCATAGGAGAAACCAGTTAATTTTTAATGTCATGGAGGCACTTGAAAGACTGCTGGAGTTTACAAAATTGGATAGAATTTATTTCTTTGCCTTATTCATAGAAAGGACTCAGTAAATACCATTTTTATTGTTGATACAATATGAAATCTAAGCAAACCCTAGGAGTTTGTCAGTTGGAATATAAGGCAAAGCCCCAGAAATGTGGTTCTAGAATCAGTTTTTATAAGTTGTTGGCCCTTGAGTATCTACTATGCCTCTCTGACCTTTATTTTCCTTATTCACCCAGTGGAGATAAATAGCTATAATCCTTGAGCAAAATATTGTGTATTTGACTTGCACAGAAATTTCAAAGGGTTTTTATGTATTATTTCCTTTTGTTTGTATTGTGTACAAAGAAATAAATTTAGCAGTTACTCTGGTTCCCGTTTTTTAAATTAAAAAACAACAGCAACAACAGGTAAAAAATGGTGTGCTTGTATTGATTGAACATGTTTGCTCTGCATTCTGGAGATAGATGCAGGGAGGAAAGGTCCAGTTTTTGTTCTCAAAAAGCCATTATGAGATAATGAAGCTTCATCTTACTTACCTTAAGCAAGACAAGAGCCTCAAAGGAGCTTTATTTCTACTTTATTTTCCTGTAAAAGGAAGGATATGTCAATTGGCTGTCTAGTTTTCTGTAAGCCCACATTCATTCTTCATATACTGGCCCTTAATTTTAAGTTTAAAAAAAAATCATGGAAATTTTTATTTTAACCACATGTGGCCTGCCTGTGTGATAATAGTGATCTATTCAGTGGCATGCTTATGGGATTATAACCACACTGTAAGTACCCATTCCCAGGTCTTCCACAGAGTCAGGAAGGATGTTACCTCACAATATATAATTGCTACTTTCGGACATCATTTATTATGGCCAGAATTGTATATCCCAGCTGCCTAGGACATAACGTGGTTTGTCTATCCCTGTGAGCAGTGCTGTTGCTATGCATCCGAAAGAAGGAGAGATGAGGGAAAAACAGAACAAGCTAAACAGAAACGGTATAAACATTTGACTATTTACTTTTTTTTTTTTTCCAGTGAAGAATGAATCTACCAAGAACCTTGGCAGTGAAAATTGAGCACTTCTTCTGGAAGAAGAAGGTGAAAATTCCAACAGTTGCAGAGAATTATGCATTGATGGGCTTTTGGATAATTAGGGTATTATTAATGGGCAGTTGGAATTTTTTGATTTGTCTGACAAGTACACAATCTAAACCTTTTGTTGACTTTATGTAAGGACCCTTTTTTTTATAGTATGAACCCCTGTTGAGCCTGATCAACATAGACTTTATTAGGCTTCAAATTTTAATATGTTTACTCCTTCCTATAGCCTGGAAACTTTTTATTAGTTTGATGCATGACCGCAGATCACTGGAGTCATCAAGTGCATTGAAAGTTGGCATTCTCTGTAGTGGAACTTCACTAAAGAGAACCGTTGTGCCAGGTACCATCTAGTCAAGGAAAACTGATCTTCCATTAGTTGCCATTCTTGTCTTTGGAATATACATGCCATTTTTCACCTCTTTAAGACAACTTTTATACTTGGGAAACTCCCAATATGTTGTCTTGTGGAAAGGCTTAAATAAGTACTGTTAACTACTATTTCTTATATTCAGTTCATAAAATCAGCATCTCCACATTGTTTGAATAGTCAGTGCTCAGTGCAAATGAACTTGCCGCCTATTCACTCAATGAGCTATGTTTCATGAATTCCATGCCTCATCTCAGTCCCAGTCCACTCTCATTACCACATAAGTGGGTGTTATGATGACCATATTGATGCTATGTTTTGCTACATCAAGCAGTAAAGAAGGGGAGAATCACTTGAAATTCTTTGATGTGCTATTGAAACATATATGTGTGTATTTATATATATACATGGCTTAATTTATACCTTATGACAATTCACATACTGAAATTATGGTTTGCTAATTTTGTTGGAATTTATAGTTATGAAACTGCAATGTGGCTATAAAAGAGGAAAGGATTATTACATCTGTATTGCATCTGTGTATTTAATGGTTAAAAAACAATGATAAAATTGGACATTAATGGAATTCATTTTTATTTTACAGTTGAAATAAGTTTTAGACCAGAAAGAAATCAGAGGCATTAAAGAGACTTTGAAGGATTAGAAATATGAAAAGGTAACGAGTATAGGAAAAATTAGAAGAACACAAATGTGCATATAACCTGGCATAGAAATTAAAGAAGAAAATCCAAAAACAATAGTGTCAAAAAGACCATTGGTATAAAAGTACCAGTGGAAATGTGCTTCATAAAAATGCATTTTGAGAAATATATTTACATTCTAAAGCAACTTCAGAAATCTGATATGATAAAAGATTTATATAGAATTGTGTTTATGATATTACTAGATAGACAGATAAATTGAATTTTAAGGGATTCAGTTTTATTCAAAAGTGTAATATGTCTTATTAAAGCAGGGAAGAGATAGGATGAATTGAATCAAATGTGTTACACAGTTTTGGGGAAAAGTGGAACAAAGTACCCCCCCCCAAAAAAAAAAACGTGATCTGAATATTGGGGTGGAAAGGAATTTCCAGACGGTGAATCTATTAAGGTACAGTCCCATTTCTAAGAAAAATGTTGAGCTCCATCTCTGCTAGATTTTAAATTGAAAACTAGACAAAACCTAAAGAATTTATCATCTAATTTCCTTTAGCCCAAGAAGAAAAAGAAAGAAAATCCCCCTGCTCGCATCTTTGCCATCTCAGTTTTCTAGAATTAGACCTTTCCAGCAATAGGCTATTTCTCAGGAAAGAATTTAGCTATCAGAGTTCAACTAAATATAACTCTCAACTCATTAGATTAATATACACATTCCTGCAGGTTTTATAATAAACATGGTTTTAGTGAATGATGGTGTCAAAGGTTTGGAGGGGGTAGAATTTAAATAATTCACTGAGAGTCCTACAAGTGTGTAGTGTTAAGACTCAATTTCTTCTTAAAGAGGCCTTCTCCTTTTGAATTCTTTTTTTTTTTTTTTTTTTGATGGATACAACACAGTGCCTTCAATTTATGTGGTGCTGAGGATCCAACTCGGGTCCTGCCCGTGCTAGGCAAGCACTCTACCCCTAAGCCACAATCCCAGCCCCTCCTTTTGAATTCTTGACAAATTCTAGTGAGTAAACAAACTCCTTGACACGCATTAAGTTCAACTCCTACATTTTATTTGTTAATCACATTTTAAGATGAGTAAAACTTCGCCTCATCTTTATTTTTAAACAGTGATTTTCTAAGGGAAAATAGGCTCTCCATAATCATTAATTATTACATATAGGATTAGTAGCCATAAATTATACAAATCTTCCATCTGTTCCTATTATAAATATAAATACAGAGTTACTGTAATAGATATTTAAGATTCTAAAGTATCATTGAGCCAATGGAGCTAATTTGTTTCCCTGTACAAATAGTGGGATCCATGTTTTTAAAAATATGATAAAATGATAAGCATATAACTGTTGCACCAGAAATTTCCCTTATATATTATGTTTAATTAGGTTGAAATACACGGTATATTGTACTGGTTTATCTCATGTTTTACCTGATTTAATATTCCTAAGTTTTACATAAAGATTTTTTTAATTTAATTGTACATTACTGCACTACAATGTGTTAAGTTTATTTTCATGTAGATGTAATGCACTTTGGAAGTAGGGGGTTATGCTGAGGGTCAAACAAGAGCCTTTCATATGCTAGGCAAGCATGGTAACACTGAGCTATACTCGCAGTCCATTAAGGCATCTTTGATTATTAACCAATCCTCCTTCAGATGTAAGTTATAGAAACTCAAAATATTATCAGCATAAAGAATAACTTGTTGGCTTATTTTTAGGGAAGTACAGGCATTACTATATCCAGGCACCCAAAGAAATCATTGTACTTGCGAGGCATAGTGGTACATGCCTCTAATCCCCAGCAACCAGAAAGCTGAGGCAGGAGGATCACAGGTTCAAAGCCAGCCTCAGCAACTTATTGAGGCCCTACACAACTTAGCAAAACGAGATCCGGTCTCAAACTAAAAAATCAAAAGGGCTGAGGATGTAGCTCAGTGGTAGAGCACCCCTGGGTTCAATTCTTGGTACTAATTTTAAAAAAAAAAAAAAAAGGAAAAAAAAAGACATCTTGCCATCCCTCACACTTGACTCTGGTTTTGTTGTTGTTTTGGTTTTTTTCTCTAGATTGGTTTTCTCTTCCATGAATACTTTCTCATTGAGGATGTTCTGTTTGGAGTAAGGGATAGTGCAGTGAAGGTGATAGTAAGTGACAGTTTCAGATTTACTTCTTGATAGTAACTAAGTCATAACAGTAAGCTATATAAAATTTTGAAGAACTACTTTGATTTTGCCTCTATTGGATCACATTCTGAGCTGATCAGGAGAGGAAACTTCCCCAGAGAAAGAGGGAAACATTAGAAAAAAAGGAGCAGGTAAAGAAAGATGGTTACTGAAAATAAAAGTTATAGTTCTTTATGATACCCTATTGTGAGTAGCAAGAAACTTTTTATAAGAAGTAAAATTAAAAATTAACCATTGGGCTGGGGATGTGGCTCAAGCGGTAGCACCTCGCCTGGCATGCACAGGGTGCTCATTTCGATCCTCAGCACCACATAAAAATAAAATAAAGATGTTGTGTCCACAGAAAACTAAAAAATAAATATTTAAAAAATATATTCTCTCTGTCTCTGTCTGTCTGTCTCTCTCTCTCTTAAAAAAAATAACCATTATGGGCTTTTTTTCTTCTTATCTATTTGTTCTTGACATGTTGCTGCTAGTTTAACTAGATGCATGTAGCACCAATCCATTTCCATCACCAATTTGGAAATTTTTTTCAGTTTCATCAAAATTGGAGAAACTTGCTGGGTGTGTTGGCACACACCTGTAATCCTAGCAGCTCTGGAGGCTGAGGCAGGAGGATTGTGAGTTCAAAACCAGCCACAGCAACTTAGTGAGGCACTTAGCAATTCAGTGAGACCCTGTCTCTAAATAAAAATAAAAAAGGGCTGGGAATGTGGCTCAATGGTTAAACATCCCTTGGTTCAATCCCCGGTACCAGAAAAAAAGAAAAATATTGGAGAAACTTGGTTTTGAAATTAGAATTGTAGGTAGACACAGTGGTGGTGGTACACATTTTATCCCAGAAGTTTGGAAGCCTGAGGCAGAAGGATTGCAAGTTCAAAGCCAGCCTCAGCAAGTTCAAGGCACTAAGCAACTTACAGAGACTTTATCTCAAAATTAAAACATAAATAAATAAAAAGGGCCAGGGATTCGGCTCAGTGGTTAAGCATCCTTGGGTTCAATTCCTGATCCAAAAAAAAAAAAAATTAGAGTTATGCAAAGGAAGTTTTCTTCAAAACTGAAGACTACATAAATAAAAATTAGCC